AAAGAAAAGAAAAGAAAAGAAAAGAAAAGAAAAGAAACACTGCAGCCTCTCCGTGGCGCAAGCCGTATCAACTAAACCATGCAAGCAGAACGGAAAAACGTATTCTGCTGCCAATGGTTCAACCGCTCCGATCATCCGATGGGCAGCTCAATTCGGCGGCTCAATACTAATTGACAGCATCAGCCACAGCAGCAGCTTGACAGTGTGTATTATGCCCATAGGTGGTCCCCCCATGAAGGCTGTAAGCATTCCGCTTCCACTTAGCAAAATTGATGCAGGGGATGTGAATGACACAGGCCCAGGTGACAAGGGTGACGAGGGACAAGTGGAGTAGGCTAAGTATGAACCTGACTGACCTGGGCATAATATCCCTCCAAAGCTGGTGGAATGAATTTGGATATACTCGTGCTCAGGCAGCTCAGCTAGCCTGAGCCTGGACATCTACGCGCTAAGCCTTTCTCAAAACAGATGTTGGACCGATAGCACCAGACCCTGGCTTAGAACAGGGTTTAGGGTTTAGGGTTTAGGTTAACCTGCTTGGTCCTTGTGCTGTACACTATCTACGATTATGCATTGTACGTCACTGTCTGAAGAAAAAAAAAACAGAAAATTTGAGCATTTTTGTTTTTGTTTTTGTTTTTGTTTTTGTTTTTAGTAGCTCTTTTAAAAGAGCAATGCCATATGTTGTGGTCAGCTGCAATCCAATTGTTGTTCTTGGCTAAGGTTCAAATGGAGGATAGCAAACACCCAAAACAATAATTGGATTGCAATTAGCGCACACATGCAAAAAAAAGTACTTGCAAGCGCACACGATTGTGTGGTGCGGTGAGGAGGAACTAGGTTCACGATGCAGGGAAAAAAAAAAGAAGCAAAGGAAAATTGCTTAGGCTTTTTGGCCGAGCGCAGCAACTGTTTGAGGATGTCCAGAAGGCCAAGTCTGTTTGAGTCTGTTTGAGCCTGTTTTGAGTCCATGCAAGTCCTTTTGCGTCTCCTTTGAGTTTGTTTTTTAGTATACGGGTTTGAGTCTGTCTGATTCTGTTTTCAATGTTCTTTGAGTGTGTTTTGAGTCTGTTTTCAGGATGTTCAGAGTTGTTTGAGTCTGTTTTGGGCAAAACCTGAAAAGCATTTTATAAGCGAAAAATCAGACCGTATTTGCCGGACAGAGCCAGGTGGGCGCAGAGGTGCCCCACAAATAAAAAAAAAAGAGGGCTCACTTGTGCCACGCCTCGTAGTTTCACGAAAATCTGCAGTCACTGTGGTGATAAAACTTCTTAAAAAAAAAAAAAAAAAACTTGTACATAACTGAGCGTGTGCTAGTGTCATAGAATATATAGCCCCAACATGTCATTTGGCATTGTAATACGTTGAGAAAGAGAGTGTCGTAGTCAACATTCAATTTTCAATCTGGGAGGGACATGCCAGAGAGAGACTCTCCAATGCGCTTGTTAATAATTACAAGTGGACCCCGCTGTGGCGCACAGCAACACTCGCTGATGGCGTCTCATTTTTCTTTCATGTCTCTCTCTCTCTCTCTCTCTCTCTCTCTCTCTCTCTCTCTCTCTCTCTCTCTCTCTCTCT